CAACAGAAATTGTTAGTCATAAAAGCTTGGTTATTTTTTAAACTACTAGATTTTGGAATAACTTATACATAACTATATACAAATTGTTACACTGAACATGCTATAAATTGAGATTTCAACATGCGTTACCTAATCTAATTCACTTGAGACAAAAAATAGTCAAATGTTCTTAGTGACCTAGAGGGATATTTTCACAAGCAAAAATGAAGAATAATCATTAGAAATGTAAATATTTAATAAGAAATTACCTCTAGACAGGCCATACATTGTGTCAGAGACTAGGCATTCACCATACCCATATCTCCTTTTTTTTCATGGACATAATCCTGGACAAACACAGCCTCCATTACAATTCATCTTGGCAATAATGACAACTGACCAAATGAATGTGAATATCTCCCACAAAATTCTCCAAGACTTCCTATCTTCCTGCTAGCTATTGACAACGAGAGTGAACATGGAAGACACATGATAACAGACCCTCCTGAGCAAATATGGGGTAAACATCTCCCTAACCAAAGCAATGGAGGATTCTCATTGTCAATGCAGTCTTGTAGGTTACAGGAAGCTTCACCCAGTGACCACACTGGGGAGGAACATGAGCAGTGACTGGTTGGTTTATAACCACATTAGCAAGGAATTGATATACATCATTGTTCACAGTTAGTCATTTGGACCCATTTAAGTGCAAAGAAACTGGAGGATACAGTCCTGGTTTATACAGAAGCTCTGTTGCAACAACTGTACAACAAAAAGTGGGGGATGTGTCTTTTCTACATTTTGGGCTGACCCAATCCCCAAGTTAAAGTCCGATCTTCATATTGCTTACGGTTCCTAAACTAATACCCCTAAAATGCACAATCTTCTTCACAGGGTTGAGATGGCTCTTCATGTGATCTGACAAACTGTAAACAAAATGTAAGTTATGCTGCATGTGTACAGTAGAATGGAAAAGGGACAAGGCAACCATGGGAACTCCTCTTCTCGTAGTAACTGGTCATGAAAGTGCTGGGATTTTGCCAGGCAGGAACTCTGCAGCTCTTCTGTGTGAGGTATGGGTAATTCCTTTATCCGGCCCTTTTCTGCTTTCTGGAATGCACTTGACTGCCAACTGTTTTTCTAGGTGCCTCAGGAAGTCTATTGTTTAATTCTCTAGAACCATATCTATACGGTTATTTAGGAGCAGCTTTGCTTGAAGGCCGAATGTATTTCCCAGTCTGCTTTCTACTAGCATAATACTGGTGAACAGTTGTTTTCTGAAGTCCAAATGGGCAGAAGGCCATGGCTTGACAGTAAAGTTTCTTAATACCTGTGTTTGCATCACTTCTTTTCTGTCAGCCAATGCTCACAATCAAATTTTCTTTTCTCCGGATCTGAATTATCTTTCTGACTCGAGAGCTTCCCATTCTCAGCTTAATGATTCTCTTTTGAGATTGTACTCATCAGCTCTGTCTCCAGAATGACCTATAACATAAGGTTTCATGTGATGGAGTTTTGAACCTCAGTCTTTCAGCCTCATGTCTCACTATTTAGAGTCTAGCACTGGTCGTCCCAGCCCCTTTCATTCCATCTGCTACCAGGAAATTCTCTTCTGAACTCATCATTTGTAGAAGATATTGTTGAAGGCAGGTGCAGGCTCTGCTTTCTTCTTGTTCTGCTGCACTGGTTTCCTTGCCATGGATCCACTTAGCAGTAGTGGGTACTGGTGAATAGTTTATTTAATTATGCAGAAGAAAATGAGATCAATTCATAGCAATTTTCTTTTTCGTTTTTTTCTTTCTTATTTATTTATTTTTATTTTGTATTATTATTTTTTCTTTTGAGACAGGGTTTCTCTGTGTATTCCTGGCTATCCTGGAACTGCAATTTTTCTTAATATCATTTGTATTCCAAAGCAGTTTTTGATAGTTTGTCAAGGTAAAATAAAAGTCAAAGATAAATTGAAGTATATGAACTCTGCATTCTGGGTAGATGAAAAGTCTTTTGCCAGAGTAATAATGCCACACAATCTTTTAGGTTTCAATACTGCAAATGTAGAAGAAAGAGTGGGGAGAGGAGAAGGAGAAGCAGGAGAAAGAGAAGGAGGAGGAGGAGAAGGAGGAGGAGGAGGAAGAGGAAGAGGAGGAGGAAGAGGAAGAGGAGGAGGAGGAGGAGGAGGAGGAGGAGGAGGAGGAGGAGGAGGAGCATTGGGGATTTCAAGCAAACAAAAGGACTTTGTTCAACTTCCATATGGCAAAATTCTTCTATTCAAAGAATAACTGGATTTTCTAGCACAGAACAGATGATTGGAGCTCTAACTACTCAAGATCTGGGGAATTTGAATACAAAGGATTCTACGCAGGATACTCTGGAATTAAGCAAAAGACAATTTTTACATTTTTTTTCTCTTATGAGGAAAAATGTTAGAAGGATGTTAGCAATAATGGAAGCATGACACACTGGAGTCATTCTAGTATAACACTTGTATGTAAAATGACAATAAGCATGACTGTGATCATGAAAGAAATGGAGGAAGAAAGGAAAAGAATGGAAAATGGCAGGATAAAAGAATATGGAGAAAATAGACAGAGAGGAGGAAAAGGGAAAAGAAAAATTGTCTATCAATGGGGTAAATTTAGGGTTCATCAACATCCCACAAGGCAAATATCATCATACTACAGACAATGAAACTATGGCTCAGACAAGTGGACAAGAGAAGAAAAGAACAGGCATTCAAACTTGAAGACATGTGTCTTCTTGGTTCTGACACTCTTATTGTATCATATGCTGTTAAGACTGTGCAAGATACACTACATGAATGCAAAATACTTGGCATAAAGTAATCATTCAATTATGGCTATCTCTCCTTGGATTCCACACTGTAGACTGTATAAGGCCTATATGTACTATTTCATACATCAGAAACATGACTGTATTTTATTTTTAGCACTGAAGAAAAAATGTCTATGTAGATTTATTTGAACCACTTTAATACTGATAACTATAAAGTAAAATAGCATAAATAGATTTTTCTGACTTGGATAACAGTTCTTCTAACTTTGAATAAAAACTAACTTGTTAGTGAAAAAATCCTAAATTTTCATTTTCTACTGCTTAGTATTATATATAGTTTTAGGGGATCATTTAACATTTTTAGCTTTAGGTTTTCATTCATTGTTAGAAAGCAAACAGTAAAAAACAACTTGCAAAAATAAGGTGAAAATTAGCTAAGATAAAGCTTCAATCCAAAAGCACAAGTTGGGGACTTGAAAAAAGAACTTGCTGTCCATGAGCTAAAAGCATAGGCACTAGCTTCATACCCAGATTGCTATAAAATAATACAACAAAATCATATATATAATCTTAAACTGTGATAGCTTACATTTTTGATTATCTTTAACAAAAATTGCTAGAATATGTCTTTTGTGGAGAGTCTTTAGAAAAAATTTCTTTTGACCTACTCTAAAAATATTAAATAGATGGTGCTGTCATTTGAGAGCATAAAGGATTTTACATTTATTGATGTAATATGCTTGAAAAAGACAGAGATGTTAGAAATGACATCAGTCATCAACGGCTTTTGGCATAGTCCCAACTCTCCCATATTTCAGCATGTAATGAAACCATGTTTATTGGCTTGCACAGGGTGCTATATCCAGCTGAGATGATAAGTTGTATGGGGATGGATTATCTGCTTGCTACCTTGCAAACTCCCTTACTACCCGGTTTTGTTAACAGCAACATCTATAAAGAGGAGCAACACCATACCAATACCCTGAGACTATCATTTCTGTGACCTGCAAGGACTATATTGCAAGAAGACCACGGAATTTTGCTTTCTTAACTACTCCTACATGATCATAGTTAGTTAACAAAACAAACAGCAGTCTAGAAGTTTATATGTGGAAATAACTAGATTTTTCTTCTTAATGATAAGCAAGAATCTTGATTTGGTTTTTCTTTTAAAACAGTGAAAGTGTGTGTGTGTGTGTGTGTGTGTGTGTGTGTGTGTGTGTGTGTGTGTGTGTGTGTCCTCATTTCCAATTCTCTTTTTTGAATCAACTGACCTTGACAGCACTTATACATAATAAGGATGCAATTCTACTTAATAACACAAAAGGAAATAGATATCAACATTCAGTTGAAAAGGTTAAAAGAGAAAATATAATATAATTCAATATTTACTTTTATGAGGATACGAAGAAGCCTTGAGAGAATGTATAAGGAGTGAAAGAAGTCCTAAATGAATGCATATTTTGACATGGGCACAGGCATGTCAAGGACCAAGGACTTGGACCCATGGGAAACTGGGAAAGCCTTTCCCCTGGTCAAGATCAGAAAGGCAAAGCCTTGGTCCAAGTACTAGTGTTCACACACACAAAAAAGGCAAAGTTCTTGGTTCAAGTACTAGTGTTTACAAATGATTAACTAGTGTGTGTATAAACTAGCAACTGGAGCTTCCTCGTCCTGGATGCCTACACCTGGAGACTGCTCACAATGTCCTCCTATAGGGACTAGCTAATTCCTTTCCTTGTTCTGGACACAACAAACATGGTGAGGTTCTGGGTTGTTTTGATAGTTGGTGTCACTCTAGCCATCAAAGTGCAGGTAGCCCACCAGACCCCAGCTTTTCTATACGTATGTCTTTATGCATGTCCTTTCTTCTTTGCCTCGCGACCCCTACTTAGATTTTCCTAGTCTGGTCAAGGCACTGAGCTGTACTGGCTGAGGTACACAATCTTAGATTTTCAGATGAGTGTTCTTAAAAAACATCATGCAATTCATACTCTAAGTTCAATACCAAGTAATTTAGAGAAATCTATATAGCATTCACTATTTCATACATACAAAGCAAAATTAATAAGACATAGTTCAATGATAGGGTAGTAAGGAGGATGTTACACTTGACTTGGAGGTAAATATTACTTTTATTTTTTCTTATATATAGATAATTTTAAAAATAATTTTAAATGACCAAATATGTATTATATTAGACTTCAATAAAAGCTGAACACAGTAAAAACATCTCAATAAATATTTTTATTTCAAATTGATAGGACACATTATTACCATATAAGGCATCAAATGCCATGAGAAAAAAGCCCATCATCTTCCATGAGTGCCTTTATAATATCAAAAAATACACAATCGACATCAAGTACTTTCAGTTGGCAAGAACAGTAGGATGAAAAGCCAGGAAAGAATCACAGGGACATACACAGCAGAGGAAGATCCATCCATCTTTGTCTCCTTACTCAAATGGGTTTTCAGTCTGTGTAAGAAGCAGTCAGAGAGCAGTGAGAAGTGAGACCACAGGGGAATCCCTAAACTTGGGAGCCAAAGACAGTGCTGTCCACATTTCTAGGGAAGAAAATATTAATTCAAGATAAAATAATTTATAAACATTCCACACACTTATGAGCTTGTAATTGAAAGGTTAAAAAATAAATCAAAAAGCATTTGTAGGGCGCTGAACAAACAAAACAGATTTATGTTCTTACAGCATTTCATTCTGAGGTTGATTCCAAATTCTTTATTAGTTACCCATGAAAGACTTCTTGTTCATAAAATTAACGTTAAGGCATGCCAAATTCCAATAAGACAATTAGTCTAACAATAGCTTACGAATATTAAGGTTCTGTACCTATAAAACATACCCTAACATATATACAGGCTTCTACACAGCAACCTGCATACTTAACTAACAAAAGCCATGACTATGCTTTTGAGTTAAGTCATGGATTTTTGGAAGCAATTCTGTGTATTTGCACTAGCACCTTCCCTTTTGATAATGTTGATGTCAGTGAGTCAAATCAATTCCAAAGTTATATGCCCATAAAAACTAAAAGAGAGATTTTACAGAATATTATGTGGACCATAAAACAATATAGCTGAAAAGAGTCTGCAAGTCAACACTGTTAATTATCCATCTTACGAGTTCCTGAGAAAAGCCTATTGAGACTTCATTTTAATTCTCATCAGGGTCACTGTTTATGCCCAGTTTGAGAAAAGCGAAAGCCATTCCAGAAAACTGTAAGGATGTGTCTTGTTCTGTGGTGCATTTAGATCTAGGGGATGACATTGCATCTTGCTGCCACACGGGAACCGTTGACAAGCATTGCGACTCTCTTTTGTCAGGCCACAGTTTTGTGGGAGCTTGAGTTGCTGCAGTAGAATCAGATATTCAGACTGGAAAATCTTCCAACAGATACATAGGTGTTTTCCCTGTTGCTCTGACCATTAATCCAGATAAGAGTTTCATATGTGTACACACTTGAGAGACAAAGACCAGAATGTTCATTGTGTAATTGCTTAGAATGCTTTCTTATTGTAAAGAAACTTAGAAGAAAACAAATATATATATGTGTGTGTGTGTGTGTGTGTGTGTGTGTGTGTGTGTGTGTGTGTGTGTTCAGATCCTTAATTCTTGATATAAAATTCTCATGGTGCACTTTCACTAATTTGACTTCACTGTAGGGACAAAGGAAAGGACGGCACAAACATGTTGGTATGGCAGTTTGTTTACAGTTGAGCCTTGAAAGGATATGTGTTAGCCAGGGTCAAACTTGGCCTCAAAACATATTTTTAAAAAGGGAGATGATGGGCTCAGGCATTTTAAGCTTTTGATATCAAGGTAAATATCTGGGTATTACAGAATTAAGGGACCCAGCGGTCGCATGGGTGAAAACACCCAGGCCAGAGAGAACTTGATGGTTCCCAGCGGCCTGCTGTTCTTCTAAATCATAGAATTAGTACCCAGCAAGAAGGTGGGAAAGACAACAGCTTCACATGAAGGGCCAGCACAGCATACTGCATGGTCACATCAGGCGCTCCAAATGGCTGGCAGGGAAAGAGCATTGCAAAGAGCCACACAAACTCTACAGCAGTTTCCAGTGCCCCCCAAGGGGACAGATTATCAGAAATATTAGGAAGCCTACACTGTCCATTAATTGTGTGAAGCTTCCACAGATAACAACTGGTACCATGTGGAAGAGATCTCCACAAAGCCCAAGAAAGATCCAAGATCAACAGCATTGCCTCAGTCTATTCAATGTCTGGTTTCTCACATGGCCAGGCCAAAGCAATTCTAGTACCCAAACCACTTTGGATTGTATTGAGATCAATGGTGCTGAAAGTTCAGAATGTTTCTTTGTTGGTATTACCTTTACCTTTATTGTTATTTTCTTGCAGTGCAGAGGGCTTGACTCGGGGTCTCACACATGCTAGGCAAGCACTGTACCCTGAGCCATGTCCATATTCCTGAGCTTCATTTTAAAATCAAGAAATCATCTCAAAGACAGGCACTAACAGAATGGGTGAAGGCAACACAAATATTATGCCTGGGGAAAGCAGATAAAGGTAATTATTAGAATTACATCAGCACAGCCTAAAGAAAGCGGGTGATTTTCTCAATTGGTCCCTTTGGGTGTAATGGCCTTCCCTGGTATCACCAGAACCTCGTGTCATGCTCTCTGTGTTTGAGCAGTTTGAGATAATGTGGAAATGAGCATTTGCTTACATTCAATTTAGAATCTTCTTTTCTGAAAAGGCATTTTTAAAAGTGCTGCCTTTAGAGTGAGTGTATCTCTACGATTTAGCAGCATAGTGAGTTCATTAACTTTTCTTGTATTGAAGAACTCTGGCTTTTTTTTCTTATCATTAGTTTTATAGGATTGAAAGGACAGCCTTCATGTTTAATTTCAAGCTCATCAAGAACAGAAAATTGAACCACAAATTAGTGCTGTTTTATTTGCTATGAAACTAATTAATTATGATTTACAAATAGATAAAAAAATTCAGAGTTCTCATATAAATAAACATGAATAGTTTGTTGTTTTTCTGAGACAGTCTCACTCTATATTCCAGGCTGTCTTGGAACCCACTATGTAGTCTAAGCTGGCCTTGACCTTGCATTGATCTTCCTGCTTCAGCCTCTCAATCGTCAGAATCAAGGCATGACTCACCAGGCCTGGCATTAAACTGGTTTAAATTTTATTTTACAAATTTTGTTGTTGCAGTTTGAACCCAGCTCAGATCTACTCACTCATGGAGATAGATTACTCCCTTCTTACTGCAACATCTCCAAAGTGGTTCCTCAAGCAGACTAGGAATCAAAAATGAATAAACCTCCAGAAGATAAAGTTTAAACTTCTGAGAAGCTGCCTTCAGCACAGATGACCTAAGAGTCACAGAGACACAAAGCACAAAAAGACTGGCTACAACAATCAAAATACATGTTCCTTCTCGTGCTTTGTGTCTCAATAAGCCAGCACTTCATGGTCAAGTACTTTATTCTACAGGGTGAGGCAATGGGGCTGCATATACATTTTCTACACTTTACTTACTTTTCCCTAAGAATTCTGTGACATGTTTGCCATCCCTACCTCATCCTCCACTACTGTGTTTTCCTTTAACTTGTAATAAAGGTAACTCAACAAATTGCTCTGATATCCACAAGGACTCATTCATATAGATACACAAACTCATATAGTTCACCCACAGCCCTCAGTAACAACACAGGTGTCTACATTAGACTTCATTAAGCTTAAGAATCTCCAACAAAATTCCTTTCTCACTAGCTCATCCTTTCACTCACACCCATTCCTGGCTCCAGTCCTCTTTAAGAATGAACTCATTTTATACTAATAAAACACCTAAGTGGAAGGGTGTGGGTCACTTGAAGGAACATCAGTGCAATACAGATCTTTCGTAGGCTGCATTTCCCATCTCTTTCCTGACCACCTTGCCCACAGAACCTCTCATAGACTAAACATTTCACTTTATGAGGGGAGAACATAGTCCTTAAGGGTAGGTTTTCAGGATGATCTCTAGACCTGTCAAGGGGAATCAGGATAGTGATGAACACAACTCCCACTAAATGAATGAGTTTGATTTTTCTCTTTACAGTGTAAGATTTTGGCTATAGGTTTAAGGACTTTTTAAGTAATGGCTTATACTAGGCATAGTGCCCAGGAGTCTAGCTGCAATTATACTGGAGGTTTTCTCCAAACCACCTCCACAAAATATCACCTGGGCAGCATACCAGGTCTGCTCATGACTTAGACCTGTCTAAATGTTTGGCTGCCAGAAGATATGTTTTTAAAGTGTAATCCTTTGCCACACATGTATGAGAAGTAAAGATTTCAAGGGCACAAGTCATCAGGCTGAAGGCAAATCCACAAGGAAACAAAGTATGTATCAACAACTACTCTACTTCATTGGGAAAAAAAGGCTTCAGGAAAACACCTTATATTAACAGTTAACCTCACATGGGTCTGAAGATGACATATCATTTTCTTTATAAGAAGGTACATATTAATGACATAGTTGTCATTTCTAAACACAGTAATATTTTAAAATATAGTATTTTATAGCTTTTAAAAATAACCATTATCTTAAAGTTTCAAAACATTCACACTCCCAAAGTCTACATTTTAGTGTTTAGTCAAATTACAGGAATAAAATTTTAGCAAGAAAATGGAAAAGCACTTTGGGAATTAAACGTAAGCTTTGCTATTTAATTAGTGCTTGTGTTTCACAGAATAGATTGCCACATGATCCCATTGTGCAGGAGCCCTTCTAGTACCTAATAATAATATCCATGTTTATGTAAAAAGAAAACACTTGTATATTAGGTCAGTGGAAGTATTTTGCTATAGAAATAGAAATTCATAGTCATTACAGGTGAATTAGTTTTCAGTTTGCAGTAAGTCAGGAATAGATGACCATGGTTTCTTTTACATCTTACACAGGTTTTCTTAATAAAAGATCCATGGAAACAGAACACTGGCTGGCTTTTGGGATGTGGAAAACAACAATAACAACAACAAAGGATAATTTTTCTTGCCAAACAAATAAAGGACACCGGTGATGTAATTTTTTCACATCAAACATATAGTTGTCTCTCAAGAAGTTCAGAATTAACTCTGTACAGCAAGGGCATCTTCCTCCACCAAGGACAGTTCCAAGGTGTTTTCATTAGTGCTGGTTTTCATCCTGAAGTTGAAAGAACCATAGAGTTTTGCAGACTCTTTGGAAGAGGCAAACCTGTTTCGACGATAGAGCTCCCCCTTCCACATAGACATCATCAGCAAGCATGAGAGGACGACTCCCCCGAGTGTGAGGAGGCAGAGCCCAGCTATCACACAGCGGTCCAGGTGTGCACCTAGCCTCGCACTCTCCTTTTCTAGGCGCTCCATCTCCCGGGCTGCCACGGTATTGGGATCCACTGTCACCTCCCGAGGGACAATGTAAGAAATGATCACCAGCAAGATACCAGTGACCAAGAACAAGATGGCACTGATGAAACCATAGTCTATGGACTTCCCTGAAGACGTGGCTTCTGAGCTGGTGTCGTCCTCGTCTTCAGATATCAAAGACATGGCAGCCTCATGGGACCACTCGTTAGGGTTTCCCCAGCCAAGATCGCCAGGGTGGTGACTGCCTTTTGCTGATGGGGATCTCTGACTTCTCTGTTCTAAGTTGACATTCTCATCCACATAAGTAAAAGACGTTTCTAGTTCCTGGCTGCAACAATTGCAGACTTTACGGTCTGCCATTACTTGACTGTTCCCTGACTCAGGAGGTCCTGGTGGGCAAAAGCTTGGCTGAATAGCATTGCCTTGGAGCAAGGAGGTTGGGGGTGCTGGAGAAGAGCTAAGTCTAGACACTTCCACTGCAGCTGCTCCTGGTATGGGTGTAGAGTTTTTCTGAGAGCAAAGAGCCTCTCTGATGGCTGCTTCCTCTTCCTGGTCACCAAAAGTCCCGCCTGAACTCCAGTCCACAGCATTGCACAGGTCCTCTGGTCTATTCCTCTTAGTCAGGGAGTGGAGCTCCATGGGAGCTGGCTAGAATTCCTGTAGCAATTTCCAGAAATTCTTGGAGTGGCAACACAGTTAGATAAGAACCCAGCAGAATCTAAGCCCGTGCTATAGAGAGGCCTGCTCCTCTGGTCCCCATTTCCTTTATAGTCATGGCTGGTTAAGGACACCTTAGACTCAGTTCCTCATGAGAGGGACACACATAAGAAAGGGAACCTGGTGGCAGAAGAGCGTGGAAAGGGTAAATCTTCTGACTTGTCACAGGGTTAGCAGGGAGAAACTCAGGTCAGGGGAGAAAAGGAGCAAGGAGGAAGTGGCAGTATCTCTGGAGAGAGCACACTGCCGTCACCAAGCCAAATTTATCCAGGGACTCACACGTTCCCGTGACAGAATCCCTCAAACGAGAAGGCAAGTTTCCTGTAGAAAGACACAAATGAGAAAGGCAGGGCCCTCTTTAGCAGAGCTGCCGGATTTCTGGAGTTCTCCAGCAAGTGCAGACTTCTTAACAATTCAATTAGAGTGCATGCTTATACTCCAGTTCGGAATAGATTCTAATACAGATTAGCTTTAATGAAAGTATGCTCCTATCAGTTGGGTGCGGTTGGATCAGCATCTTGACTTAGCAGCTATGAAGTGAATGAAAAGGATGACTTAATCAGCCAGTGACCAAAAGAGGAATCAGGACTAGTGATTCTCTTATTCATGTATCTAGTAACTCACTACACACAGCCCTGGGTCCTGTGTTAATATAGCCTTATGCTCTTCTACTGTGTTTAAATCCACTCCCTGTTCCACAGGGGCAGTTTACACATTTCACTGTGGTCTCTGCAAAGCACAGTGAGCCAGTCCACTTCACACATATGTACTACGTGCTCCCATTGAGTGCCTGCTGCTCCCACTCACAAAGTCTCAGCGGGTCGGAGTTACTTCTCCGCCCTACAGTTTGCTAACACACAAGCACAAGAAAGTAGCTCCCTGGACGTGTTTACAAACTCGATGTGCAAGTAAGTTGAGGGGGTAAAAAAGAATGATAAACAAATAGCATTGAATCAAGACAAAGAAGGCAGAAGCAGTTTCCAGAGCTACAGCTGAAGCCCTGTATCCATGGCACTCCCTCACCTCTGCTCGCCTTGATGGGATGGAACTCTGTGTTGAACAGAAAGCCAGGAAGCCATCTGCCCATCTACTACTCCCTCTGCTAGCTTCCTGGGGAATAAAAATTCACTCTCCATTCTGAATAAATACAGGGGGCTGAGTCAAGGACTCCCTTTGTTTTTATTTCAATCCAGAGTGGTGATTAACTTTAACCCGTGGCTGGAGGATTATGAATCAAAATCCCCAACTCCAGCAGCTGGTAACAGAGGTACACAAGCAAGCCTCACCTAAGACAGCCAAGCAACTCAGCACAGAAAAGAAAATCGACATGTTTTCTGCTGTACTTCAAAGTCCCCCATCCTCCTGTCCACTGAAAATACAAAAAATGAAACAACAACAAACACAAAACAAACCCACAGTGCTAAGTGCAAAAAACCATAACTGAATCAGTTTTCCTTCAGCAAGTGGACAAGCCCCTACTGAAGGATCCTTCAATGAAGGAAGTGATGGGAACCGGTTTCATCAATTACCGAAAAGAAACACTCACAGATGGATCCCTCAGGCATGAGTCGCTCTGATTAACCTTTGGCACAATTAACTAATCATATTAGACTCCTTTAGATAAAATCGGCAGGGTCCCTTACGAGACTTCCAATTTACGACAAAGCAGAGAGATATTAATATTCTCTCTCTCTCTCTCTCTCTCTCTCTCTCTCTCTCTCTCTCTCTCTCTCTCTCTCTCTCTCTCTCTCTCCTCTCTCCTCTCTCCTCTCTCCTCTCTCCTCTCTCCTCTCTCCTCTCTCTCTCTCTCCTCTCTCCTCTCTCCTCTCTCCTCTCTCCTCTCTCCTCTCTCCTCTCTCCTCTCTCCTCTCTCCTCTCTCCTCTCTCCTCTCTCCTCTCTCCTCTCTCCTCTCTCCGAAGAAGAGAGTGGGCTCTATTTGAGACTCACTAACTGTACAGTCGATTTGCAGATCTGTATTCTCAGGTTTCCAGCCTCAGTGGATGACGGATAATCCCAGGGGACCAGCCAAAGGTCTCTTCTTCCCTCCCCCTATTTTTCCCCCCTCTGATCTGTTTAAAAGCCCAGTTAATGAGATTGTACCTCCAAAGCAGGGGGGCAGCGTTTTCCCCAGTCCTCTGATCCTCAACTAAAGGCAGTAAAATATGGACAGAATTGACAGGGACAAGGCTAGTCCGCAGGAGACCACCTAAGGATGTGGGATGCGGGATGCAGGATGAGCGAGCGCACTCGGTTTACAAGACCCGCTGCTAGCACCCGGCAGGGGAGCCCCCAACAGGCTGCTGGATCAATCACTTCTCCTGGAGAAGTCTTGGCCCATCAAGGCACCTGCAGTCTGGCTGCGTCCGCTGAGGTCCTGCAGGCACCTAGTGCGGGGAGTGGGGATGCGTGCCCCAGCTCCTTTTAGCTCCAGGCTTCGGCTCTCTCTCTCTCTCTACTCCGCTTGCTTCTTCCCCATCCCACTCTCTGGCACTCACCTTCTGCTTCGGCTACCGGGTGAAGCTGGAGCGGGAGCACTCGCGTCCGCGTGGCTCCCTGAGAAAGTCCGCTATTCCCCAGCCGCAGCACTTGTAGCCAGTGTTCCCTGCTGGGTTCCGCTGGGTGGGCGGCGCCCGCCGAGTCCGGCTGGGCGGGGCAGGGCGGGGCGGGGTGCTCCCTTTTGCTGAGCATCCCGGGAGATGTAGTTCAGAAGAGGTCCTTACATTCCCTCCCATTCGCTTTGTCCCGTACCTCCAGGATTTTGTTCTTCTGGAAAATAGTTACTTCCATCCACGCACGCATTTACCTGCTTGGACCTTCAAGCTCTGGACTCTCTAAGATGAATGTGTCTCCCTTCCCTCCCCATCCCCCCCTCCCCCCCAGCCTCAAGTGCAGCCACAGGATTCAGGAGGAGGACTGGGGAAACAAGCTTTACATTTAGTTCTCACTGTGTGCCAAGCCATTTGCATACTTTGTCATATTTAATAGTCAAAACACATTTTCAAAGTAGATTTTGTCAGTCTTCTTTTTAAAACGAGGAAGAAGACCCACAGGGATTCAGCGCTTCCCCCGCCCACAACCAAGATTACAAACTCAATAATTAGTAGCTTTTGAAATAGTATCCAGAGTGTGGTTCCAAAGTCATCACCTTTCCCGTAAAACAGGTAGCATTGTGAACACCAAGAGTAGCAGTGTCCTGTTCTCCCGTTTTGCCCCTGCATTTACTGTTACATCTTGTATCTGATAAAGGTATGCGAAATTAGAAAATCAGAGAACAAAGGCAGTGTTCTTTATTCCCAGGTCCTTTTCTACACCTTTTATTTAGCTCGTTTAAGGCATTCAACTTTAGAGGTACTGTAACAGTCCTCAACTTTACAGAATATCTGGATTATAAAACAGTAGTCAAACCCACACCGTTGGTATTCAATAAATTCTAAGTTATGCTATACTAACTGACTGGGGGTGGGCAGAGCGTGAGAGAAGGGTCAGGTTTGGCTAGGAAAATGTATGGTTGAAACTCCTGAGGTTGTGGCTCTTGAGATAGGAGAAGCTAACTTCTTTAGGTAACCCCCCCCCCCTTTTTTTTTTAACCAGAGCAGGCTTTAACATCCTACAGCAACACATCTTGGAAATGTGCGCTTTGTGGACCATCTCCTCTGTTGTCTGGCACCTCCTCTGGAGTGATTTACGATCATTGATTGATTCCATCTAAGGAGCAAAGGATGACAGTATCTGTGGCATTTTCTGCTTGCAAGAGGCTCACATAAATGCTGCAGTCACTTGAGAGACAGGTCAGCATCCTCAAATGACACAGCAAATGATAACAATCCTATTTATTTTACTTCACAAACATGTGACAAAAGCCATTCGAATGGTTCCACAGACTTCTTAAAATCCAGCCTCTTTGAAATCTGTTTGTCCCACAATTTTATTGTAACTCGTTACACTATTAGTTCTGGAAATGTGCACCATGACTTCCTTGGCTCACTATTCTGTTTCCCAGCAAGAATATATTTTCTCTGTTCCTCTATCCAATTCATCTTTCCAAGACACACGTGACAACCTTATTTATCAGTACTATATATTGGAAAAGGAACCCAAACACACTGTAGGTGTCCACAAGAGGACAACTAAGATGTCAAAAATATCTTGAGCTATTGTTAGATAAAGAGGTGCAGTGGGGACTTGGGGTATTTAATCAAAGGAAGAGACTGGGGCAGTATAAAAACTAGCTTTAGGTTAAAGTTCATAACATCAAATGTATTTCACCTCATGGTTTTATAAGGGAAATTAGAACAAATGACAGTAATAGTATCTATTAGTGCTAATATGTTACCACTGTAGATGTTGAGACTTTGTAAGGAGTGCAAGGTTTTGCCGCTTTTTTTCATGGAAGTCACCTGTAAGAGGTAAAACACAGGTGTAAACATAGAAGGCTTCTCATGACAATCACCCCTAGGCTGCAGCGTCTTGGGAGCCTACAGGAAAACTTTGTGGGCTCATGGATTAGGTAAGCCATTATCCTCACTTAGACACTGGTGCACCTCAGATGTTGGGGCACACAGACTGGGGAGTTCTGTCAGGTTTAACTAAGAGACTGGTTTGGCATTTGATTCAAGTAAGGACATTCTAATAGTTTGACATGGAATGTCTCAGAAAAGTGAATTATATACTGCTAGAGAGGCTTCATTAAAAAAAAAAAGGCAGAAGCATTTATTGGCAGTGTTAAAGGAGGGATTTGTTTAATTGGATTATGCAACCTCTGTGGTCTCCCTGATGAACTAATTCTAATCTATATGTCTTACATGAGGCATTTCCCATCTAGGCCAGCTGCAGAGGAATCCATATTCTGTAAGTTTGTCAACGTTGGGATTTTAAATATTTATTAGCCACTATCTTGTGACATTTGTTGAAGGTAACTACTAAACGTTGTTTAACCTATGACTTAGGCACTTGAACATTGAATGGCCACTGTGCACACCTAAGATCACTAATGACATGTTGAACATCTTACCCGATACAGAAAGTTCAGTCTTTCTCTTTCATTCAGAGAAGTCAGATGACAAAACTCAATGGAGACTTGAGATGATTATCAGTTATTCTCTCATTCCCCATTATCATCACACTCATAAAATAAAACGAAACATTAACTCACATCACCAGGGAGGCTACCTGGAAAACAGGACCCCAAGAAAGACACGGGGATCACCCAATGACGGAGAAATGGATGAGATCTACGTGAACAGCCTGGACATGAGTGGGGGTAATGAAGGGCGAGGGTTGAGGGAAAGAGAGCTTGGGGGAGCGAGAGATCCCAGCTGGATCAACAACAGAGAGGGAGAACAAGGAATAGGAGACCATGGTAAATGAAGACCACATGAGAATAGGAAGAAGCAAAGTGCTAGAGAGGCCACAGAAATCCACAAAGATATCCCCACAACAGACTGCTGGCAATGGTCGAGAGACAGCCCGAACTGACCTACTCTGGTGATGGGATGGCCAAACACCCTAATTGTCGTGCTAGAAACCCCATCCAATGACTGAGGGATCTGGATGCAGAGATCCACAGCTAGGCCCCAGGTGGAGCTCCAGGAGTCCAATTATTGAGAAAGAGGAGGGTTTATATGAGCGAGAATTGTTGAGACCAAGGTTGGATAAAGCACAGTGACAAATAGCCAAACGAATGGAAACACATGAACTATGAACCAATGGCTGAGGGGCCCCCAACTGGATCAGGCCCTCTGAATGGGTGAGACAGTTGATTGGCTTGATCTGTTTGGGAGGCATCCAGGCAGTGGGACTGGGTCCTGTGCTCATTGCATGAGTTGGCTGTTTGAACCTGGGGCTTATGCAGGATCGCTTGGCTCGGCCTGGGAGGAGGGGACTGGACCTGCTACCAGGTTGATCTCAGTCCTCGCGAGGGGGGGTGGGGGACGGGACGGGGGACGGACTTTGCCCTGGAGGAAGTGGGAATGGGGGGTGGGCTGGGGGGAAGGGGAGGGGGGCAGGAGGGGGGAGAACAAGGGAATCCGTGGCTGATATGTAGAACTGAATTGTATTGTAAAATAAAATAATAATAATAAAAAACCACAAAGCATTAGACTCCACATTTTCTTTAACATTAAAAAGTTAATTTATGGGCTGGAGAGATGACTTCTAGAACTGCTTTTGAAGAGTCTTTCTCGCCTCGCCGGGCGGTGGTGGCGCACGCCTTTAATCCCAGCACATGGGAGGCAGAGCCAGGTGGATCTCTGTGAGTTCAAGGCCAGCCTGGTCTACAAAGCGAGATCCAGGACAGGCACCAAAACACCAGAGAAACCCTGTCTCGAAAAACCAAAAGAAAAAAAAAGAGTCTTTCTCGGTCAACATCCTAAACTTCTTCCTATTTGACACTAGAGTGGTATAATTCACTTTCCTTTAAACTGGCATTTTACATATGAAAAAGTACTTCATGCATACTTTACACTGCTTTCTATGTGTTCTTCCTTCCAAAATAAAACTTAGCTTCCCTGAAAAACAGCCTTTTTTGTTAGAGTCAATGAGCATGACATAATCCAGCATATATCCAACAGCAGTAGATCCACAGTATCTGCTTACAAAGTCAGTGGCCTTAATTAAGTGATGGCATTAAGAATCTATATAATGATTTCTATTTTACATAAATTTTAATATGTTTCATGTTTACTCTGGTATTGGAGGAACAATCATTATTATGCTAGATTAACTAGTAATAAAATAGATTCTGAGTAAATTGACTAAGTTAAGAGTAATCCTTGGGGCTGTTAACAACTAGCCTCTTATAGTAATTACAAAGGAAGTCATCAAATTTTCTCTCCTCAGACAAAATGATAAGGACTAATTGCACATAAACTTCCTTAGAGGACTTAATGTTTTCATGAGATGCTGAGCAGTGGAAAAGGGAAAAAGATGATTTCTGGATAGTTTGGTTAAAGTTTGGAAATAGTCCAAGGAGTATGACTGATTTCATACCACAAGTCGATGCTTCTAAGTTATAGAAGACTGATGACATCCAGAATTTAAAGTGAGATCTCATTTATTAGGCAAACTCTATGAATTAAAAAAATTATTAAATTGTAAATTTAATACATGTGCTTACAGTAGCTGTGCGTGTTTGTTAAATAAGACCCGTGGCTGATGCTGACAATAGCAGATTCTGAGAGTCAGTGTTTTTCCCAACAGAGAGAGTTCCCCCTAGCTACTCAAAGTCTCCTCCTCCTCCTCCTCCTTCTCCTCCTCCTCCTCCTCCTCTTCCATCTCCTCCTTCTCCTCCTCCTCCTCCTCCTCCTCCTCCTCCTTCCTCCTCCTTCTTCTCCTCCTCCTTCTTCTCCATCTCCTCCTCCTCCTTCTCTTGAGTTAATTTAGATTTCAAGAAAAGAAGCCACATCTCCCTATTTTTATTTATTAATTCAAAACTTTTTAAACACTGGCTGAATTGAAGAAAGCTGTAACTGTGAGAAACATTTGAGTATCAGAAATTCAAGAAGTTTATACTCATCTTCTATTGAGTATAAGTTGGAAATCTGGAGAAAAATATGAGATCTGCCTTCCTTGAATATTTATGAAGTTACTAGAGTTACATTACTAGGCTAAAATTCAGGGGCCAAAGGTCA